GTGACAGGTCTGTGTAAAAAGAAATTGACAGCATCGTTTGACATTCGTTTCAAAATTTGTATTGTATTTGTTATATGTATGTCTAGTCTATAGTCTATAGTCTATACACAAAAAAGGCTGTCATAATAACCCTGGTAACTATAGACCAATATCTATAACCCCTATAATAAGTAAAGTCATAGAAAAAGGCCTTAAAAAACAACTTGTTGAATATTTTGAATTTAATAAATTATTTAATGACTGCCAATATGGATTTAGACCGGGAATGTCCACAACAATGGCAATCAATAATTTATTAAAGTTCATATACGAATCGTTTGAGAGCCTTAGCTATACTGGAGTTATGTTTTGTGACATATCCAAAGCTTTTGATTGTGCTTCCATTGATGTTCTTATGATAAAACTTGGTAGGTATAATTTTGGCAAAGGTGCCTGTTCCTTGTTGCGCTCATACATGACTAATAGACATCAATATGTAATATTCAACAACAAACCTTCAACGTTATTACCTATTAATATGGGAGTGCCGCAGGGATCAGTCCTTGGTCCTCTGATATTTTTAATATATATAAATGACCTACTAAAATGTACTTCGCAGGCTAACTTTGTCCTTTTTGCCGACGATACTACTGTCGCAATTTCTCACCGAGATATTAATAACGTAAAAACATCAATGGAAGAGGCCAAAGCTCCTGTCAATGACTGGTTTCTTTCTAACTCTTTGTGTCTTAATAATGAAAAAACCACTACAGCCTTTTTTTCACTAAAAACTGGATGTTTCTAGTGCCAAATTCCTAGGTGTTTATCTGGACAACAAGTTGTTGTGGGAGGAGCACACGGATAATGTTGCACATGATATGTCAAGGGGGCTCTACGTTTTACGCAACCTTAAATATATTGTAACCCAATCGGTATTATTAACTGCATATCATGCATTAGTACATGCTAAAATGTCATATGCTATTCTAGTATGGGGACACGCTGCCACGGCTTCCCGTGTTTTTAAAATTCAGAGAAAAGCTATTCGCATTGTAGACAATATTAAATACAGAGAGGATGTTCGATCTCCATTTATAAAATTAAGGGTGTTGACTTTTCCATGCGCTTATATATATAATTGCCTACTACATATAAAAAAAAACATATCGGACTATTCGGCACGTAATCAAATGCATTGTTTTAACACGCGGTACAATGATAATTTACATATACCATTTCATAGAATAAAACGAACCAAAAATTCTACGTCTTATTAGGGACCTGTTTTATACAATAAGTTACCAAAGCATATTAAAGAAATGCCCTTAAAATCATATAGTAAAGTTATAAAATTATATCATTGAGTAAAGTGATGATATATCTAATCGAAAAAGCATTTTACACCTTACAGGAGTTTCTAGAAAATGATTTCCAATAAATTTTATATCTATGTTCTATTCTGTATACATTTTACCTGGTTGTATTGCAAATTGTTATAAGTTTTTTATTATTGTATTATTTTTACTTATTCTGTAATGGAAAATTGTAAAAGTTTTATCTAGGTATATATATTTTTTTGACGAATGTAAATACAAATTGTATACAATTTGTATTTACATTCGTCAAAAAAAGCATATATGCTAACATGAATAAAGTATTATTATTATTATTATTATTATTATTAAATATCATTTAGAACACAATTAGGTAATTGTGTATAATAAATTCTAGTTTTTAGTGCCTTTATTTTAATTGAGAAGGTAAGTTTATTGATTTTAAGTAACTTATACCTTAAAAATTAAAAAAATAAGATGAAAGAATTTAAACAGCTGTCAAACACGTTTTTAGGTTATTTTGTTTTGTATTTGAATATAATAAAAAATAAAAGGGTCGTAGAAAAAACATTGTTTCACTTGTGAGAAGAGCTTTCTTCAAGCTCGTGATAATGCACACTCGGCCTGACGGCCTAGTGAGCAACTTGAACACTCGCATGAAAAAGTCGCTTTTCAACACTTGTAAAACAAATATTTATTGTTTTGCACAATGTAGCCAATTATAAATTTAGGGCGCCTAGAAAATTGTATTTTTTTTTCAATGTATATTAAAAACCTATTTTACACTGTATACGTTTACTATTTAAAACAACAAAACTTTCAATAATATCAAAAATATTAATTTTGCCAAAATAAAAATTGGTGTACAAAATAAAATGCATTTGGGAAGGTCATACCTATATCGAACTTTTTATAGGATAGGAAAAAAAATAACCATTCATAAAATATATTTGTTAAATAACATAATAAATAGTTTTTCCTATATTCATAATACAACATAACATAACATCTAAAGATTATAGCTATATTAAAAGGTGAACATTGTTCACTGAACAATACTTATAATAAAATATGTGCGTGCATAGGACCTTTTTGCATATTAGACAAAGTTGTTTTTGCTAATAATACTATCTACTCTTACATTATATTGTTTTTAATAAAAATGGCAGTGGTTGTGAGAACAAGTTTAAGAAAAATATAAGGTAACAAATACCTTTAATATTTTTTAGAACTTATTTTAAACATTCTGTAAACATTTAACATTAATTTTTTTATCTATACTTAAAGTCAAAATAAACGAACTTTTTAAATATAAGTGATTTTACAAAAATCATTTAAAACGCGATATCCTTTTGCACTTTTTCCATAGCATCGGCGGACTTTTTAATTTGAGCCTTTTCTTCGTCGTGCAAAGGCATGTTAACAATTTCACCAATTCCTTGCCTGCCTAGAGATGCTGGAATGGATAGAAAAACATCGGATTCGATGCCGTAAAATCCCTAAAATTTACACAAAGAAGACCTTAGAAACAGTACCGAAGCCATTTTAGTATGTATAGAAGCATATTTGCCTCAAAATTGTATATACCCATAGCAAATAAATGAATTAAAATTGTAGTTGTATCCAAGGGATATTATATTATACATAATATACATGGAATATTTTATATCTATTCAAAATCGATATGTATATGCATCTATAAATATTTTAAGGAATTCTTATGTACATAAAAGTTTGTTATTCACAACATAATATGTATATTATACATTGGTCAGTTAAAATAACGTATTTCTCAAGATGGCTTTTTTTTACTTGGGTGTCATTTAAATTATATGTTTACTCTAAACAAAAATCCGATGTGGTTTAACATAAAGAAGAGTCTCTCATCGGAATTTTTTTAAATTTTTTTTAGACTAAACAAATAATTTAGATAATAACCAAGTGAAAAAGCCCACCAGAAAAATAACGGACATCCTAATAAATATGGCATATTATATATTCAGAATAGATATTTATATACAGGGTGTCCCAAAATCACCGACCCAACGAAAGGGTCAATTAATTGATTAATTGCAAGGAATTCCTTGCAAAATTCAAAGACCTTCTTTTTGTTTTTTTTTTATTAATTTTAAAAGTAATTTGTGATTTTAAACCAGAATCTCGGGGCCCCCCAAATTTCTAATAAAATAAATCTCAGGAAAATAAAATTCCATAGTAATTTTTGTATATTTTTTGTTGACTTGTTTCGTATTAATTTTTTAAGAAAAAATTGCAAAGCAAGAAAGGTTTAAGATTTTTCGTTTGGTACCTTTACGGTGATTTTGAGACATGTAAACATAATGTTAGTCCATGGCATAAAAGTGAATATAGGTAAATTTATTGAATATCCATGGATGGATATACATTTAAGAATATTTTATGAATATCCATAAAATATTTTTTAATGAATATACTATGTTGAAACAACTTTCTTAAAATGAAATAGTAAAAATTCTACTATTTGAATTAGTACCAGCATTTTTACTAATAAAATAGTCGTTTTTACATTTAAATAGTTATTTTTTACTACGTAAATGGTTAAAGTTTGACTAATTTAAGATTAGTCACCATCTTTGACTATTTCTTAGAGTTAAAATTAACTAATTTCTTTAATCGTTTGCGGCCAACAACAAAGTATTATTTGAATTAAATGCATATAGGCTCCATGGTTAAATTGCCCATAAAAACAAAAAAGATGCAAAAAGTTTAGCTCAAAACAGCAACACAAATAATATATTTAACTTTAAAATATTATGAACAATATTTATTGACAAATAAAATTGATTTTTAGTGACTGATAGCCACATAGGTTATGACAACAGCTTGACAAGCTTGACAAGAGACAGACTTGAGTTCAATCCCCGACTGGGTCAAAACTTTTTTAAATTTAAATTTACTAATTTGACTATTTCATTCAGTAGAATTTGACTAATTATTAGTGACTGCTTGTTCGCTATGATAATTAGTCAAATATCACTTATAATTAGTTATTTTTGACTAATTAATTTTAAGAGAGCATATTTATCCCTAAAAAATATGCGACTAAAAAAATCGTTATAGAGATTTACATCACATAGTTAAATATCAAGTAAAAATACTTAAAATACCACAAACAGCAGGCATTCAAACATAACAAACGCAAAATTACTATAGTATACAAGCCAAGTCAAACAGCAAAACTTATAAAATCGTCTTAAAAAACTCCTTTCTTTAAAGGAGGGATGGAGATGAAACCTTTTTAATTTTTAATCTAATAATTTTTGACAATTTTTGATACTTACCATATAACTGTTTTAATAAGTACTTTTTTATTTTTAGGACTTATAAACATAGGTAAAGCATATAATAACTATATTTTAATACTTATTTAAATTTATTAAAGAAAGCTTTGACTAGGATTTTAACATGAATACAATACAAATTTAATATTATTAATTAAAAACTCGTTATTTTATTGAGCAACGTCAATAAAAAAGGGACTTAATTGCATCACATATGTAGAGGAAAATAATTATTTTAAATTGTACAATAGAAATATAAAAAGCCTATATTTAGTTGAGTCAATTTTGATATGTATCATTGATAAATAGTAGGCATTTAAGGTTTTTATTATAAATTAATCTAATCTAGAATAAATAGTAAAATACGGTAAAAAAATACTAAAAAATATGTAAAACCTAGATTAAAATAAATAGGAATTATTTTTCTTAAAAATTGAACAAGCAGTTCATAAAATGTAACTATAAGAATACTGTCATATTAATCATATTTTCAGTTGATGAATAGAAATGTAATTCATTGAGAAACTTCTAGTAATAAGAGCTTATAGTAAACGTAATCCATCTTGAACATCTGCCATCGTCTTCGCCGATTTTCTCATTTGATCCAACTCTTCTTCAGACAGAATTAATTGTATCACGTTGTTAATACCGCCTAGTCCTAGACTACAAGGAACTGATAGAAAAACGTCGTGTTCTATGCCGAGATAGCCCTGAAGATAAAGACAACATGCCAAAACGAAATTTCTCAAAAACACGGTTATAGAATTTCTACTTGGTTGAATAATTGGACGGCTTTCTGCAGAATGGGACCAACCCACACCATGATGAAACTGAGAAAAAATCTATCAAAGATTTTAATAATTTTAAAATTACCTGTTAATTTTATGCCGATTTTGGACTTACGGAGGTTTAAGGGATATAATTTAATAATTTCATCAGGTGGATTTTGTGATGTTATGTGTAAGGGTGACGAAAAAAATGGGCTTTTGTTGGTTGGTTCCTTTCTGCAATTTATGAAAACTACTATCTGATGTATGTATGTATTTAAAGAAAAGCGACAATTATTTATTTCCAAACAAAATACAACTGATATTACTATTATAATGGTAATATGAATTAATTTTGATTCTATTTGAAATTCGTTCACATCATCTTCCAACCCCACCTCATCTTGTAAGCTACCAAAAAAATGCATCAAGACTTTATATTTTGCAGAAGCAGGAAATCTTTAAAGACTTTGGTAGTGGGTCTACCAGCCTGCTTTTTTACAAAAAAGATCCAACCCACTTGCAGATACTGTACAGATTCTAATTCTGGATTAGTAATCCACACTATTATTGAATGTTGGTTGGTTCAATGATTAATAGATTTCACTACACTTGCATTTTGGCTATGACCTATTTTGCAGATAAATTATACATACTTAATTAGTTCATAGGCTAAATATCTCGATTTTTTTGGTTTTGTGGGTTGGTTCCTTTCTGCAGAAAGGCGTCCAATTCAGAATGTGAAAATAGTGCAATTTTTTAAGATTTTACTGTACCAATCGAAAAAATACAAAATATACTCTAAACTTAAAAAACTTGATTTTTTTTTCTTGAAACATTAGATATTGATCGAGTTCTGCAAATCGAGCAAACATCCCGCACTGTAGCGCAAGCTGCATCGTTCAGAGTTCGACAGTTGCATGTTCAAAACTTCAGTTATGCCGTTCTGATTCAAAACGCAAGGGTTCGACGCGAACGAATCACCCTGTATACCATACATATCCTGAGGAAGAAATTCGTTATTTTTTTTTATCGTGTGTGTTGAAGTTATGCCCTTTAGGAGTCTGGATGTACTGTTTTAAATATTTTTTCATTTTACCTTCCTACTGAATTATTGTGAAAACTGTAGGTACCAGTAAAACTTTACTTATTTTTGTAGCGTACCTACGCGTAGGTATAATGAAAAAATAATGTATTTTACGTTCGTGGAAGTATGCATTTTTTTCAAGCCAAGGCAAAAAAATAACAAAAAAAGCAGTAGCATTCAGAAAAGCGGTCAACCAAGCACTAGAAATTTTGGATTTTAATCCACCTCTAATAAGCAAAAATATGCCAATGTTTAACAAATTTGTGACACATTCCTCATACACTCACAGGAAAAATAATCGATCCACACAAACTTTCCTTGAATTTCAATCGCAAATAACTTTTTTTATTTGATTTCGGATTTAAACGAATATTAAAAAATATTGTAGATAAATTAATGGAGAATCGCTTACATTTTAAAAATTTACAAAAAAAATAGACGTACGTTTATAATATACAGGTTTAAACAAAAAGATGTTTTTTACCATAAGTTTAAGTTATAATTAATTAATTAATTAATAAGTTTTAATTATCAAGTCACGTTTATTCTTAACAGTTTTGTTTTTGCTTCACCTCGATATATTTATTTTTGTGGAAAATATAGATTTTAAAAAAAAATTGCATTTTCCAATAGAAGAACTAAGGTTGCCACCCATATCCTATGGAGGATGACAGTGACAGTTTTGTTCAATCATCCCATACTTGCAAGTAAAATGAATTAGTCAAAAATAACTAATTATAAGTCATATTTGACTAATTGTCATAGTGAAAAAGCAGTCACTAATAATTAGTAAAATTCCACTGAATGAAATAGTCAAATTAGTAAATTTAAATTTAAAAAAAGTTTTGACCCAGCCTGGGATTGAACTCAGGTCTGTCACTTGACAAGTTTGTCAAGCTAACGTCTTAACACATTCGGCTGTCAGCCGCTCTTATAAAAATTAATTTTATTTGTCAATAAATATGGTTCATAATATTTTAAAGTTTAATATATTATTTGTCTTGCTATTTTGAGCTAAACTTTTTGCATCTTTATTTGTTTTATGGGTCATTTAACCATGGAGAGGTATATGCATTTAATTCAAATAATACTTTGTTGTTGGCCGTAAACGACTAAAGAAATTAGTTACTTTTAACTGTCAGAAATAGTCAAATATGGTGACTAATCTTAAATTAGTCAAACTTTAACTATTTACATAGTAAAAAATAACTATTTAAAAGTGAAAACGACTATTTTATTAGTAAAAAATGCTTTTACTAATTCAAATAGTAGAATTTTGACTATTTCATTTTTAGAGAGTGGAGATGTCATATACGGCCTTCAAAAGCTATCAAATTGTTTTTTTGTAAATTAAGCCTCCTCCATAGGCGAAAAATAGTTTTGTTCAAAACGTTCTCCTGTTCTCCTATAGATTCTTTGAAGACCGTCTCGTGATTTTAAACAAAACCTAGCTCCGTTGGTAAATAAGATATTTTTCCACTCATCAATGCCCCAATTTTGATGTTCCCTAGCAAATCTAAGGCGTTCAACCCTGTGCTTTCTTAGCAACTCGCTTACTTGAACCTCCATTCTGTTTTTTACCTCCACAGAAGTTACTCTTCGGTCACGTAAAACATTAAGTCGAATAATGCGTTCATCTCGTTCATTCGTACACCTCTTCCTACCACATTGACTCCTTATACTGTACTCACCATGCTGATTAACACCAATTTACAGCCCTTTGTACTTTACATTTGCCACGTAGTACTGTGACCGTCCATCCTGGATTAAAGCAATGGCTCTGGCAACATTAGTCAAACAAAAATAAATATATCGAGGGAACCAAAAACAAAACTGTTAAGAATAGATGGTACTTGATAATTAAAACTTAGAATAATATACGGTTTTGCCACTCTAAAGAGTGTCTTAAACTTATAGTAAAAAACATATTTTTGTTTAATATTATTATATTATACTATATTATAAAAGTAAGTCTATTTTTTAGTAAACTTTTAAAATGTGAGCGATTAATATTCGTTTAAATTTGACATCAAATAAAAAACTTATTTGCGATTAAAATTCATCAAAAATTTGTGTGGATCGAATATTTTGCCTGTGAGTGTATTTAAACTGAATATCAGTTTTGATGTCTTGTGTAAGAAACAGGTATCCATATCCTTTATTGTAAATAAATTTATAAGTTGTAGCAATCGGAGTAAAAGAAAATCCTATGGTGCAATGTCTGGTAAGTATGGTGGTTGAGGAAGTAACTCCCACCCTGAAACCTCACTTCGCAAACGAACCTTGGAAAAAATTAATGAACTGAAGTGGAAGGATTTCCATTTATTCCGATTGATACAAGTCTTGTGACAAAAAAATTGAAATTTTGGGTGATATTTAACATGTTGTGACACTTTTAAACTTTGACATATTCACTTTAAACAAACTTTCAACATACCTTCAAAGATGTTGAAACAGCATGTACATTATTGGTATTCTTTAATACACTTTGACACAAACTGGAAACACTGAGCCCCACAGCCCAGTTAGTGTAACCCTTTAGCCTGATAACCTCATACGCGCTGTTTATAACATCTTTGTGAAGTTGCTTGTAATTTTCTGGATCGCTGTCGGTTCCAACGTTTGGGTTTATTTCTCGAAGACGGACACCTGCTACATTCACTCCAGACCAAATGGGAACTAAAATAAGACGAATATTTATTTAAAATGCAAAGAATTTGACCACTTAAGTTGTATCTACGTTAGGGTGATTCATTTCCGCAAAAAACTTTTTTTTTCTCGGCGCTCAAGCAAAATATTAATCTACCTATAGAAAAAAAATTTTTCACCAAGGTAGAGCTCTTAATATCAGTTTAAATTTGAAGTTTTCCCATTTAAAATGCATGTAAAAAAAATGTTTTTTTTTAATTTCTAATGCTCGCCCGCTCTTTACAATATTGTGAATCGGTTTTATGGACCTTATAGGGAATTTCACGCTCTTCAAAATTGTCTTTGTGTTTTTTGTGTAACTCGTAGTGGTTCGCCAGTAGGAGTCATCAAAGTTTTTTTTTTGCAATTTTTTTTAATAATTCGCAAAAAATAGTGAAAAAAAAGAGCTGAATCGTAAAAAATAGTCTTTTAACAAATATTTGATGAATTTACGGCCATTTTTATATCTTAAAACGTAAGTAATTGATAAATATTAACCAATTATGCTATTTAAGTTACACTTTCTTATTTACTATCGATATAATTCTCTGCAACAATAACTTTTCCAGAGTTATTATGATTTTTGAATTATAATAAATATAAAAACACATTAATTTATAAAAAAACAACAAATATACAATTGCAACTTAGATTCTGCAATTTTTCAACATTTCCGTAATATAGCAATAAATATAAATGAAGGTTATTCAATTTTTTTAACAAAATTCTTAAATTAACGAAAAAGTAAATTGTTTTTATTGTCAACTTCATTTGCTTCAATATTGTATAAGTAGAAATTGCTATTTGAATAATTGCACTAAATAATATTTTGATGGCATATTCGAACATAAGTAAAAAAATAATGATAATTATTTGATTGGGAAAGCAACTAATTAGTATGACGTTAGCGACTCTATTGTCTTTGTAAACGGGTTTGATGCTTTATGTTATACTTAACCCCAAAATGTATTTTTTGTTGTATTTAGTGATTAGTCCGAGAACAAAGTACGAAGTGACTAGGTGCACGTTAGAGTGCCTGCAATTTATTTTTTACGGGCACGCTAGTGACGTAATAGATAAAAAACGTCATCACTGCCGTGCCGCTTAATTTAAAATTGGCGGCACAACAATAATATAATAATAAATTATACCTGTATACATGTTAAGGGCACGTTAGTTACGTCATAAAATAAAATCTTAATTTGCTTTGTATAAAAGTCGAAATAATTTAATATTTATCAACTTTGCAATATATTATGTAATAATGTAATCTGTTATTTGTTTTGATTAAAGTTTTGTTGTTTTTTTATGAAATGATGTGTTATGTTTATATTTATTTTTAGTCAGAAATCATAACTCTGAAAAAGTTATTGCTGTAGAGAATTATATCGATAGTAAATAAGAAAGTTTAATTTAAATAGCATAATTGGTTAATATTTATCTATTACTTACGTTTTAAGATATAAAAATTGCCGTAAATTCATCAAATATTTGTTAAGACTATTTTTTACGATTCAGCTCTATTTTTACTATTTTTTGCGAATTGTTAAAAAAAATTGCAAAAAAAATGTTCATTCAAAAAATTGAACTTTGATGACTCCTACTGGCGAACCACTAAGAGTTATACAAAAAAAATACAAAGACAATTTTGAAGAGCGTGAAATTCCCTATAAGGTCCATAAAACCGATTCACAATATTGTAAAGAGCGGGCAAGCATTAGAAATTTGAAGAAAAAAAACCATTTTTTTTACATGCATTTTAAATGGGAAAACTTTAAATTTAAACTGCAAGTACTTAAAATTGATATTAAGAGCTCTACCTTGGTGAAATTTTTTTTTCTATAGGTAGATTAATGTTTTGCTTGAGCGCCGAGAAAAAAAAAGTTTTTTGCGGAAATGAATCACCCTAATCTACGTACCACTTGTATCTCCGTGCTCTCCCACGACCCACCCGTGGACGCTGTTGGGGGAAACTCCCAACTTCTGGGACAGCAAAAATCTGAACCTAGAAGTGTCCAAGTTGGTTCCAGAACCGAAAACCCTGTTTTTGGGCAGGCCACTTAGTTTCCATGCCACGTAGGTCAAAACGTCGCACGGGTTGCTCACGATTATCAAAATGCAGTTCGGCGAATTTTGAACCAGTTGCGGGATGATGGACTTCATGATGTCGGTGTTTCTTTGCACCAAGTCCAGACGAGATTCGCCTTCGTTTTGGCGGGCTCCGGCGGTTACAACGACTATTTTTGAACCTGCCGAGGCCGCATAATCTAAAAAGAAAAAATTTATTATTAAAGAGTTGGTAAGACATTTTAAACAATCTAGTGCTCTATCTTTGAACACTTTAGTGTAAGGTTAAGGCTTTACCTGTGCTGGCGGTAATATTAGCATTTCTCAAGAATAAGGAACCATGTTGTAAATCTAACATTTCACCCTTGATTTTGTCTTCGACCATATCGATTAAAACGATGTCATTTGAAATATTCTGTAAGTATAAAAAACAGTTTTACAAAAATGTTAATTTTATTTTTTAATGATATTAATAATAATAATAATAAAACTGATGTTTTAAAAACTAACGCTCTCTCTAAAAATGAAATAGTCAAAATTCTACTATTTGAATTAGTAAAAGCATTTTTTACTAATAAAATAGTCGTTTTCACTTTTAAATAGTTATTTTTTACTATGTAAATAGTTAAAGTTTGACTAATTTAAGATTAGTCACCATATTTGACTTTTTCTGACAGTTAAAAGTAACTAATTTCTTTAGTCATTTACGGCCAACAACAAAGTATTATTTGAATTAAATGCATATACCTCTCCATGGTTAAATGACCCATAAAACAAATAAAGATGCAAAAAGTTTAGCTCAAAATAGCAAGACAAATAATATATTAAACTTTAAAATATTATGAACCATATTTATTGACAAATAAAATTAATTTTTATAAGAGCGGCTGACAGCCGAATGCGTTAAGACGTTAGCTTGACAAACTTGTCAAGTGACAGACCTGAGTTCAATCCCAGGCTGGGTTAAAACTTTTTTTAAATTTAAATTTACTAATTTGACTATTTCATTTAGTGGAATTTGACTAATTATTAGTGACTGCTTTTTCACTATGACAATTAGTCAAATATGACTTATAATTAGTTATTTTTGACTAATTCATTTTAAGAGAGCTATGCTACGCAATAGGGGCGATATTTTTTTTAAGTGCAAACAAATTACCAAACAATTAGTTTATAATTTTTTTTGACACAAAGTCGCATCATATGTACATATGACTCCTCAGCCTTATTTAAATTGTTTCAATAGTAAGTCAAAATATACTTGTTAGAAACAAATAATTAAAAAAATAGTATTGCGCCATTTTCGGGATACTCTATATAATATACAAAAATTTATATTTAAATTAATACTTCATATTTTTTATTTTTGTAATTTTATTACAATGACTTAAATTATTATATACATATTATTCTGTATCTTGAATTGTTTCCAATAACTGTTTGTATTTATAACAAAATTATCATAAAGCAAATATGTACCAAAGTTAGTATTACTATTAACAGTTTATTTAAAATAAAAAATTAGTTCTCATAAATATTTCGGTCATACAGGGTGTCCGTGACCGTTAACCATATCGTTCATTCGAAACAACAATGACAACTCAAAAATCACAGATTTTAAAAAATCAATTAATCAAAAACCACCCATCGAAAAAAATTCATATATGGGATTTTTGAGTTTTTTAGTGAGGTAAACAAATTTACCAAAAATTACCAAATTTGGAGATGGTGGGGGAAGAACCTTTGGTTGATTTGATATGGACTGACCCATACTTTACAAATTATCTCTAAAACAAATCATTTTATAAAAAATTTATAAGAGACCCAATTTTTTTAACAATAAATGATTACCTAAAAAAATACCGTTTGGAAGTCATTGGCGCACGTACTAAAAATAGGGGGAGTCAGTGAGTACTGGACTCCCCCTATTTTGATTATTTGACAATTGCTTTTTGTTTTGTTGGTCTTAAAAAATGTAACTATTTATGTTGAAGTAGTGTACCAAATTTAAACTTAATATCTTATCAATTACTTGAATTATTAAAAAAAATCAGTTTTAAATTTCAAACTTTGTCGCCCTGTATATCGAACATGAAGCTCTAAATTGAAAAATGGTATTATGAAAGTTATTGTTTTAACTCAAAGAATATATGGTTAACGGATTGACCTCCTTTTCCCGGACACCCTGTATAATATACAAAAATTTATTTTTTGTAATTTTATTACAATGACTTAATTTATTATATGGGTTATTCTCAAAATAACTACAATCTTTGCGTGACGTGTCTTTTTTTCTCCCATATTAAAAAAAATGGTAAAAATAAGTAACATTTTTAAAGTACCTACACAACGTTAACTAACAGTACTTTAAGTAAAAAAAAATAAGAAAAAAAATACCGCCCAAAAAACTGATCTGAATAGAGATATTGTCCTTTCCGTGGAACGTGACTATATCGTGTTGGTAAGTTTCAGTTAATGTAGTGAAAAGCCTGCATATTAAAAAAACCTAAAAAATTGCCAATATTATTAAATACCCCAAAAATACATAGTTATGGTTCATATTCCTTTTTATTCTTTTTAATTTAATATTGTAGTTTAGTCATTTATACGTTACCAGTTTCGATCCATTCCAAGGACTTATTTGTAAGTGCAAAATTTCAAAAGTATTTCGCGCCACTCACGTCAACCGTTAATTTTATGTCATTAAAAAACCTGTCATTTGTTATTTAAGTCGCCCTTGTCAGTTCTTTTTTGAAAGGTTGTAAAGAAGCGTTCATGTTTATGTACGAGGCTCCAGTGTAGAAGCATAGGCTGTCCTTTCTGTTACAATTATATTTCAAACAGTAAGTATTGAATTATTTTCTAATTATTGTCATTATTATTGTCAAAGTTTTTATTTTTGGCACATGACAAATGCGAAGGCATAACCTAAAATTTACCTTTCTTATAGAGAATAATTATATACATAGATGTCCATTCAGTGGACGTCTTTTCTGTGGACATAATTTACCCATAAATAGAAAAATTAAGGTTTGCATGCAATATCAATCTTATTTTAGTTTAGGATTTAACTAAAGCTTTACAAAAATGCTCTTGTAATAATATTACCAAACTTTTTAGTATTAAAAAAATAATAAACCGAAAGTGTAGTTATTTTGAGAATCACCCATATACATTATTCTTTATCTTGAATTGTTTCCAAGAATTGTTTGTATTTATAACAAAATTATCATAAAGCAGAGTACCAAAGTATTACTATTGACAGTTTATTTTAAATAAAAAATTAGTTCTCATAAATATTTCGGTTATATTTTCATTGCATTTATTTTTATTAATTATATTTTTTAATTATCTAGTCCACAATCCACACAACAGGGTCTGTTCTATCCCGTTGCGTTGTTTATACAGATTAAAAATCGCTTCTTACAAAGGCACTTGTAAGCCTCAAATTAGGCCTTAAAGAACAACCATTTTACTCTTTTATAAAAAAATAAACCTTACACATGTACCTATTTAACTTTTTTATGCTTGCCCTTTAGGTGGGAACGGCTTAAATTCATTTAAAAAAATTATTAAAGATATTAAGAAATTTTAAAACCGTATTTTTGTAAAAAAGTAGGTTAAAAAACTAAAAAATATCATACAATTTTGTATATTAATTCAAAATTCTGTATATTAATTCAAAATCATCTTAAATCTGTACCAATTTTAATTTTTTTTTAAGTATAAAAATTACATTATTTTGTAAACAATTCAACGCATCTTTATTATTTAATAAAGTCAGTAGCGGCAAAAATATACTAGTTTAACCTACAGTTATAGCACAAACAACACGTAATTGATAAGATTTATAACTCTGGGATCTTAGTTATTTAGGATTAGAAGTATTTTATTTAATTGTTAATAAATATATTTGTTATACAGTGTGTATTAAAAGGAATAGATACACTTAAATAAAAGTGCAGTTTTGTTCAGGGCATTGCCCTTGTATCTGGCTGCACGCCGCGCTGTTGCCATATGCTATTATTGTTTCCTAAAAGGGTTGTTTTTCTTATTTTTTAATATTAAAAGTAAGAAAATTAACTAAATCAAATTATTTTTGACATGTTATTAATTTTTTTGTTATTTTTATAGTTTCAAATAAATAAATTTAAACTATTTATTAAATAATTATAATCGTTGTCTTCTGATTTAAAACAACCTGGCAACTATGGTTCGTAATTACGAACGGCTTGGTTTAAACCACGCCCAATTAAAGTTTGTTTCTTTTTCTCTTATTAGAATATAATTTGTCATCCTTGTCTTCAGCCTTACTTACTTGATTCTATACATTCTGTATTTCTACTCTATATTATGAATGGTGTAAATAAATTGAACACAAATTTTACAAACGTATTGCGTTAATATATCTATTTTAATTTGACTACTTAAAAATCATTGCAATAATTAAAACATGTCCAGACATTAAATGTAAATGCGCATTGTTAGATAATTCAAGCAACTCAACAAAACGCATTTTGGAAAAACTTTAAATTAATAAAAATAGTATTAGGTTTAGGTACCTACTATATTTGGGAATTATTATAATTTAATGAGTTTTGGACAGTTGCTCTTAAAATCCAAAGTCAAATTGTTAAATAATTTATATAATATATAATATTATTAGAATTTTTTTCATACCTGTGTTAATAAACTGAAGGCTACGGCCATACCCACTTGTCCTGAACCAACAACGGTCACTCTATCCGAGCTTACAGGTATTTTATCGGCAATTTTGGTAAGGAGCGCATCTTTGGTCGCTTCGCCCGACATTTTTCTTCTTTTATAAACTAAAAATTTTGAGAAAAAATATGTTCAACCAAATTTTAGAAGGAAATTAAAATTGTCAAAGTGACATGCATTATAATGGTGTCATTGATAAAGGGAATATGGGATTATTGAAATTGTTATAGAAACAATGTTTTCTTAATTGTTTAATTTTTGGCGTTATTTAGCATTTTGCATTCTAAAATTATAGTTTTTATTATTTTATAATTTTATAAGTAATTATTTTTTAAATGTTTCTAGTAATTCCTGGTATTAAAAAATTATATATTTACCTATATTTTTTTAGGCAAAATGAATTTAAATTTAATTAGAAAGAGAAAATGTAGATAGTTATGTGTGATGATTTTTTTTACAACATTTAGGTAGTTTTCTAATGGTCACTGCCCAAAATGTTATTTTAAAAACGCATTTTTTAAACAAATTTAAAAAATAAAAATTTAAATTTTTTATATTAAAATTATTTTTAAAAATACCTGACAAAAATATTATTTTATTTCAAATAATCCAAATTTTAACATTTAAATTCAGAAACAAAATATAAAAAAACTACACTAAAATTAAACAAAAAATTATAAACATCAATTAAACTAAGATAAAACCACGGTGGATAAAACAAAACACAAACAATTACAACAAATTAAAATATCGAAGCTCACTTACCAAATCAACTTTCTTTCACTGATAACAGCTTCAAACTTCAAAACTGTCTTGCAAACTGGAGTCAAGGTGACCCCTGAACGTTGATATAGGCTCAATGAAAGTGCCGAAGGATCTGCGCATGTTCAGGGAGGATAATTCCCCAGAAATCGAGAGTTCCCTGATTTCCGAACATTTCACAACGAAAACGAGACTACCATCACGCACACAACCGCCGTAACATTGCATCATGTTACCTGTGAATTGGATTATCGAATGGAACAGCACCTGGCTTAAATTCCAGTTTATCTAGAAGGCTGGGTTGTAGTAAGTATTTGGACTTGATTGATAGCGCGGTGAGTCATCGGATGCGGGTTCAAATGTTTTGTTTTGGTCGACGTGCATAAACGCATGTGTATTGAGTATTTACACAACATACTTGGTTTTTGCGAATTTCGATATTTTTATCTTTATTGGTATTCTATTTTTGTGGGTGCGCGTGGATACATAAATTAAAAGTGTTTGTTATAGTTTGGGCAGCTGCCAGTTTTATTTTTATTGAAAAATGATATTTTTTTTAATGTGGAATTTATTTTTATTGGGTCATCAACTTTTTCTAAAAATAGTAAATTTTTGTTTTTATGTTAATTAATTAAATTGCAATATAACTCTTTACCATAATTTATTTACACGTTTAGACGATTTATAAATATTATATATAGGAATATAAAACAATAAATAATAAAAACCACAAAAAATTAAAGAAGACAATAAAAAAATGTTAAGTTTTATTTATCCATAAAAATTAAGGAAGTTGATTGAATGACTAAAAATAAAATATTGTTGTTTGTAATGTCGCGCCACCTTATGGGCGGTAGTTGTACTAATGCGTTATATAAGCGGTAACTCTTACATAATATACCTTATGTGGTATAAGTCTCCATCTAATGTATAAAACATAAACTATGTGTATATTTAAAATGGTACTAGTAGTTTTTTCTATTCATAGATATTAATTAAAATTATTGGGGGATGGTTAGAATGTTAGTGGTAGTAGAACCTAACCACCTTTATTTTGCTGTTTCCTAATGGCGGGGTCGGTGCTTTAAAAAAATTTAAAAAAACTATACAGGGTGCACCAAGTATTCTTCAGTTAAATAAGAGAAAGAATATTAAAATGCCATTTAAAAATTGTAAACAAATCGGCGATTCTCAAAAATTTAAAAAAAAAACTGAAAACATGTTAAGATTTCGTTATTCCTGCAGGAATTAGGGAATTTAAAAAAAGTAAGTTTTACATATAAACATACACATTTATCTACATTAATGTAGATTTTCATCCAATTTTATTTGCCTTCTAGATTTTGAGTTATAGTACAAATAGAAGAATGGGTACTTGCTACACCCTTGCTACACCCTGTATAGGTTTACGCTAAATTTAGGTAGAATTAAATTTTATAAATACATGAATAAAAATACACAAATACAAAAAATAAAGTTTAATAAAATAAATCATAAAACAAAACAAAGATCCTGTAAAAATTCCATTAATCTGTAATTTATTATAATAAATAATAAAATCATGGTACAATATAATTGCAATTATATACATATAATAATATGTTTTTTTTCTATTAAATTTCTAATATTATTTCTAATATTAGTAGGTACTACCAAAGATAATATATTATCTATTATATTATCTTTGGGTACTACTATATTAAAAAAAAAACAAAAACTTGGCAACGCTGTCTAAAAACATCCAAAAACCCTTCTTAGATAACCCGTTAAAATTTTATAAAACAAATAAATCAAAGCTCAATATCTCAAGAAATACCAATCTTAGATTTTGTTCAAAATACTTTAAATTTAATTTCCTATAAAATTTGTCATTTACATTTTTCCTTTAAGTCTAGTCATTCATGAAACAGTGAAAATTAAATTTTTTATCATAAGTAACTACATAATTTTTATTATGTTTTGATATTGTTTAACATAAAAAGTTTCTGGGGAAGCACTGCTATCTGTTAAGTTCATGCATCATCTCAAAAGGGAATTAGTTTGATTTGGCGTGCGTATATGATCGTATCAACCGCTAATATTAAAGTCAGCACGTAAAATTTACGTGTGTTGGAAACAGAAAATGAGAGGGAAGAAGGTCAAGCACAGGAAAGAGTGGAAAATCAAAAAGGCCCAAGAAATTATTGCCATATATGCCCATCAGCAAAAAAAAGAATGACCACAATGTACTGCATAAAGTGTATAAAACCAATTTGTGGCGAACACACTTAACTTAAAACTATATTTGTTATTTATATAAGTAATAATTTTTAATGTAACTTATAATTTATTTGTGTTTAACTAATAAAAGGTTTATTTTACTTTTTTGCCTTTTAATGAAATATTATTAAAATACTTTCATAATTTAACTTGAATTTTGCTACGTACGTAAATTTTACGTATTAACAGTATTACGTGACATAAAATAGCAACAGTATTCTAGAATACTGTTGTACGTAAAAATTACGTATAATTAAAAACACTCCCCCGCCAAATCGAAACCGATTGAGCCTCTCACTCCAGCGGCCAGCAGTGCTATCACAGCATAAAATTTTAAGTAAAATTACTATACCTAAAGTGAAAAGTTTTCGAGTTATTAATTTTTTGTTATTAAGTTTGCGGGTATAGGGTGAAATTTTTGGAATCTTAAAACATTGTTTAAAAGATTCCATGTCAATTTTATTATTTCTTTTTTTCAACAAATTACGTCAAATTAGGCCAACCTGAAACGTAACTTTTTATTTAAAAGTAACATCTAATATGTTTTTACATAATCTAATAGTAAAATAAAAAACCTTTCGATTGATGTAATTCTTTCCTTTACCTAAAGTTAATAATTTCAGAGATATTTGACAATTTATAAAATTTTAAATATTATTTTGTATCAAGAAATCTGTGGCGGGTGAGTTGACGGTATCTATGGTTACCACGTAATCTGTCATTGTTCAAAATTTAATGGCGTACATTTATCAGGTTTTTATAAACAATTTGTTGAGTAATTAAGTGTTTTGTAAACAAAATTACTGAAAAAATAGCAGTCAGTGACTATGAAGAGTATTGACAAGCCAAACATTTTTAAAATATAGAAGTAATACAATAGTATATTAAAGAACTAATGTCATAAGACGTCATTTTGTCGCACGCGGACGAGTGCGACAAAAGGTCTTATGATATGAGTTCTTTATGCTATTTTATCTATTTTGCAAAAAATTTATATAAAAAAAATTATTTTATACCTTAAGTTTAATATGGTCGAATTTTACTTTAGATAGTTGGTATCACAGTCATTGGTTTGACAGTTAATCTCAAAAGCGATTCGCCATGACATCCTTAATTTACTTATTTAAAATAAGCGGCTGTTAATGTTAAAGAAGAAAAAAAGGATTTTCTTTGGTGTTAAACAAAATTTATTGCCAGAAAAGTCTCGTAAGTACTACAAAAATCATAAAAGTATTATAACCAATATGCAAAATATTATTTTACTAGTATACTAGCATATATGCTGTTTAAAGTATAGCCAACCTATAAAATCAAAATTTAGGGTGGGATAAAGTATCTCATTACAGCACCGAAACCGGTGTTATAATGAAGTCATTATGAACGCAAAATAGATAAAAAGTATTTAATAATTTTGAAAAAAAATCCACAAAGCTTTCAAATAGACGAAACACTAGCTCATTGAAGGCAATACAAAGTATTTTTGAAAGTAATTTAATAACAAAAAGAATGTGCAACTGTAACAATTTAATAAACCAACAATATTTTGATTAACATTTTTTATTAGCAATTTATTACTAAATGTTGAGGCATTTCTTAATTTTTACTTCCACATTAGACTTGCTCTTCTTGACTAATATTAGAAATTGTTAAATATCTGAAATTATTAAAGTCATGTGAAATATTAGGCAAACAAATGAAGAAAAAATATCGGGAGATAACGTATTATAATTATTAGAAAGGTATATTTCTTGATCTTACATATTGATATTTTTTTATAAATTTAAAGTAGATTATTTCCCTCAATATAATATGAACCAATCAAAAGCCTTGAATTTTCGAATAAATTTCGTTTAAATAAGCGATTAAATCACTAGACCTTTTTAACAGCGATAAAATTTTAGCCTCCATATTGGATTTTTGTTTACGATTTTATGGTGTTATTTACAAGTTTTAACAAACATTTTTTAAAAAACAATAAAAAATAAGTTATCTAGTTTACGAAATATTAATTATTACTTATTACATACCTTAAATTAATGGAATTTCCTTTAAAAAAATATTTATAAATTTTGACACATACGTCAGATTTTATGAATTGTCAAATAGTTTCCTTTAATTCGAGAAATAATCTAGACGCATATCACTCAACCTATTAATTTAATCTGTCAAGGTATGCTCAGTAAGTTTTTTATTTGATTTTTCTTTTTGGAAAATAGTTTCATGCAAAATAATTAAAAATAAAACCCCTCGACCGCTACGCGGTCTCGTGATTTTATTAAATTATTTTGCATTCAACATTTTCCAAGAAAAACCAAACAAAAAACTACTGAGCCTAGTTTAACCGATTAAATTCATAGTTCTCGTGATATAATTTATGATAATATTTTTCGTTACGAAAAATGTTCTTCAGCAGGATAATTTAAAATGGGCATTTTATCATACCATTTTTATAAAAATAGTAACATGTGCCATTAAACTAAACTAAGTGGCCGGTGGCCTGTGTGGGCATGAAAATGCCTCCGCTTATAGAAAATCAACTTGTAAGCGTTTTTAAATCCAGCTCGATTTTTGCGCGCGTTAGCATTGAATTTTTATAATTGGCATTAAAATGGGCACAGATTTAATTCCCGCATTGCATTCGTTAGAGATAACGCGAATAAATAACGCGAGAACAATTATAATTTAATACGCCTATGCAAAAAGCGGATCACGAAGTCAGAAATGGCGTTTGTTAGTTACGATCAGCGTTTGCCAACACAATACCTTTGAAATTTATCACATCGTATATTTTTAGTGAGCTGTAAAAATTCAAGGAAAATAGATATTGTTATCGTTAACAGAAGTATCTACTTAGTTCATGCATTTATTATCTAGCGCAGGTACGCTGCACATCAATTATCATGGGACTAAATGTTACCCAAATAGAGCAAAATAAAAACCCTATTAAGCTAAATTTGTACTTTGAACATTTAGTCATAAATTATACAAATTTTTAATTAAAATA